GTGGGAGAAACTCCCTAGAGCAAGCAAGGTGCTCCCTGTTTTTGTCCCGCTCAGTCCCTCATGTTTTTACCAGCATAGCCCCTGTGGACCAATGCGGGGCTGTGAGTTTATGAGCCTTAGGCACTACAGGTGGGATTATGACCGGTTTGCCTAGTGGATCCCAGCACCCAGTACAGTGCCAAGCATGCAGCAATGCTCAGTGCATGTTCTCCAAGCTCCACGGTGGCATCTTGCACCCGTGCATACTCCAATCATGCAGCCATTCTGTCCTTTAATGCACCATAGCCACTCTGAAAGCTCAGTTCCTTAGGCCTGACCTCATTTCCTCTGCCTAACGTGCCCATCCCACCTGGCTACCTCATCCTTCACATCTCAGGTCAAATGTCACTTTCTCTGAAAACCATCCCCAGCCCTTCAGGTTAAATCAGATCCCACTGTAATATTCTTTCAGAGCTTTCCAGACCTTTTTTCTTCATTGCCATTATTGTTTTGTTACAATGTACTTGTGTACTTGCTTGATGTCTGCTTGTCCCACTCAACTATAAGCTCCATGGGGGCAGGACCATGTCGCTGTGCTCACTATGGACTCCACCATGCTGTGCCTGGTACCAGATGCATAGTAAATCTTCAAGGGGTACATGAATGAAAGAATGCTTCCAAGACACAGATCTGAAGGAAAGTAGAAGCGAGTATGTCGAGGCGTTATGGATGTCTGCTTTACTCTGGAACACAGTGACATTCCTGTCTCACCCAGCCTTTCTAGATTCCTTAGATTTGAGTATAGATTTGTCTTGTCTGAAATTGTGAGCATCCTGAGGGCAAGGGCCTCTTGTTCACTTTTTTATCTTCTGCATCTAACACAGGGAACTGCATCTAATACAAAATTCCAAAAATGTATATTCAATGACCAAATTAATCAACATAGATCTGCTTTTTAAGAAAAGGATAGTAGCTTCTCTGCTTATTAACTTATTTGCTACATTCTTTCATTACCTCAAACTGGGCTCTATTCCAGAGCAAACTGTATCAACACTGCCCACCACAACTGATCACGATGGTGGTTGTGTGACACCCTGTTAGTTCTGGCCATCAACTTTCTGTTGGTCTATGGTCTATTTGTTGAGTTTTTGAGGCATTTTACAGGCATCATTAACCTTATCATGTCCAATAATTGCAAAAGTAGGCAAAGTATTGAATGTGTAATTGGAAAGACTTATGATTATGATGGAACTTAAAGTAAAACAATTTTACAGGAGTAGGTACCTATTGGGTGTTTATGGAATATTTCACTCAAGATAAATCTGGTTTTATCCAAGAAAGTGTCTTATCTACATGGTATTTAAAACTATGGATCATAGGAGTTCTGAGTTCACACATGCATCCTCATCAATGAGCCAGGGCACATAACTAATTGACCAGAAGGCTCACTGGGATTAATTAGCATCTGTATGTGAAGAGCTTGGTTCAGACTTGCTGCATGGACGATGGCGTTCTGGAATGGCTATATCCTGGGTTCACAAGTCAGTCACTGCAAGGGGATCTCATTGCTTGGCTGGGGAAATAGTTGGGGCTCTTGGCTCCCCTGTGGGCCAGTGTGGGCACGTGCACATCTAGCTACTGCCGGCAGAGGGCAGCAGTACGCTGTGCGTGTTCAATTTGCATCCGAGATTAGCAAATCCCCAAGGATTTACAAAAAAAAGAAAGTGGGCATCCCAGGACCACCCTAATTTCTTTTCCCTGGGTGTCAACACTGGTCTGAGCAATTGCAAACACAGACCTTTTACATTATGTTGGACTTTGGCTCATCTGAAATAGAGAAATGAATACACAACTAGGAGCTGCCATCACAGACAGGAAGTAACTTTAATTAAATATTGTGAAAGTTGAAAAGTTTTTACAGCTTGAATTTTTGCAAAAAAAAATTATAACAATCTCTACAGTAGTTAGGTTCTCTAACAATTGAACTGTACAGTGTGTGTCTATTCAAAAAGTTTGATAAGAAGGTGAAAGGTTAGTAGATTGAGAGATGACTTCATTACGCTGCATCCTAGTACAATGTGAGGCCAGGGCATGTTATGCAATCCAGTCATCCAGAAGCTGTATTTTTCCCCCAACACTGAAATCTTAATTTAATTCTCTATTTCGTTTTCCTCTTAAAGCCATATTCTGTATTTAGGGGAACATCGTTTCCTTGTAAAAGTTTTGTGTTGAAGAAAGAGGGTCAGAGGGCCAGAACGTCTTTTCATCTAATCAATATAAATAGAGGCAACAAAACACAAATTGTACATCTTTTAAAGGCTCTTTGGACTTTCAGGAAGAGTTCTAACCACTACACATGGCTGACAGATGGGTGGCGTATGTTGTCAGGGTCTGAGCCGGACACCTCACCGGCTGACCGTTCCTTCACAGTTACAGGGCTCACCAGACAAAATATGGCTTTAAATTGTACACATCTTCAGGCCAGAGCTTACCACACAAATTCAGACCACCTTTCTGAGTACCGAGAAGCAATGCGTCCACCTTGCTTACATTTTCCAGTTTTTTTATTATTATTAATCACCATTATTATTATTTCTCACCATGAAAAATCAGCTTTCCTCCCCTCCCTTCCCCCCCAACCCCCCCTCCCCCACCCGCCCCAACCCATAAAAATCGCACTCTGACAGTCTAGTGAAAACCATTGCAAAATCCATATGGGGGCATGCACAGTTGCAGCATTGTTGTAAATTTCTTGCTCTACTAGAAAAAGTTACATTGTCTTAAGGTAACAAAACAGTTCTTTTGTGCTTTTCCATTTCTTTGTTTTTTTTTTTTCTTTTTTCTTTTTCTTTTTTCTTAGAATGTTAGTGATGACTGACAGTTCTGGTGCACAGTTACAATGTACAAGTGAAATGAATATGATTTGCATTGTTAAGGCATCCAATCTGCTGGTTTATATTTACGTGAAAGACAGAGGAAATATACAAGCAGACTTAAGAAAGAAAGTATGTTCATTGATTTCTATGAAGTTTCTCCCCCGAATTTAATGCACAAAATGCGTCACTCCAAAGGGAGAGATTCCATGCATATTAATAGAGTAAAACAGCATTAGGGTTTTTTTTTTGTAAGCTTCCAAAGCAAAGGATACATTTTTTTTAATCTACAGAACTAAATGCTACAAGAATAATATGCTACTATTTTTTTTGCCATATATTGGAAAAAACTTCTTAACTTACAAATAATACAAAAATAGACAATGGCTTTTGGGTGGAAATAAAAAAATTGAAGCATGGTTTAACAATACTAAAAATAACTATAAATGAAATGTTTAAAAATCACATTGAAACAGCTAAGACAACTGTAGGTGACCAAACAAATGCGCACTTTCACAGAGCAAACATACACAATAAAATAAATTGGGAGTGGGAGGAAAGGAAGAAGGGGAAAGCAATGTACAAATCCCAAAGATAAATACATTATTTATATGGATATTTTACAAAATCCCCGTTAAAACAAAAAGCCTTTTAATTAACTTTGCAAGTATGTGCAAGCTAAAGGTAGTGAGCTTTTTTCTTTGCAAAATATGCAGTAAAATCTTTTTGTGATATTGAAAAACTGTCTTAAGACATTAAAATGTATAAATAGAACAACAACTTTGGCAAAAAATCACAAAAAATCTACAGTATTTATAACTACATACAAAAACACAACAGCAAAGAAAAAATATCAGGCAAATGCATCCTCAGAGCTTTGCTGCATCTTTGCTATTAATTCTTATTTTTAAGAACACTTCCCAGATAATGAGAGCAAAATTCCCATAGAACAGAAAACTATGTTTTGGAGGTCTCAGCCTTCTCCTTTCTCCCGGTTTCCTTTTACTCTTAATTCCAAAGCACTTAACCTGTCGCTTTAATCGCTTACATCACAACGTAAGGGTCGACAAACGATAGAGGTGCTGTCTCTGAATGGCAATTCGGGACTACCTGCTCTGTTGCTTGTGTCAGCTTTGGGAGGATTGGTATGACGTCAGGGTTTAAGATGAGTAAACTTTAAATCTGTAAATGGTGGAGGGGAGGTGGGATTTTGGCTTGATACCTGCAGGGCATAATGTGGAATTCTGTGCCTGGACCCTGTTCCATGAAGTCTCAAAGGAGATTCTCACGCAGTATGTGTGCCACCAAGCTCTCGATTGGCCTTAGGCTTCAGAAGAAGTGGACATAAGTAAAAGAGAGAATATCAGGTTTAAATATGCAGTTTTAACAATCTGTCTAGAGGCACTGGATTTTTGAGTAGAAGGGAAAAATGTGATCACGTACATCACTTTTTAACTTTCCAGCCTGCATTTATTTACACAGTTACTTAAGACAACAATACAAAAGAGATAAATAAGCTTGCACTGCTAAGGGATGGCATGTTAAGTTAGATACTGAAAATGTACTGTCTGAGCTACCTACCATTTGATATGCTTTAAGGCGCAAAAGCCGACCCTTAGTTTTCTAAAAAATCTAACTGGCATTCCTATTCTGTCCCATACGAGCTTTTTTTTTCTTTTTTAACTTTTTTGTAAATATCACCACTTCATTCTCCCTTTACACAGCTTTAAAAACATCATAAATTAAAATGTGGAGTCTTATTTATAGTGTCCCTTGTATACAGCTTTATGGTTTATAAAAGACAAATGACTGCAGAGTTAAGCTTAAAAAAAAAAGAAAAGGAAAAAGTGGATTTGCTTGTATCGACACAGAATAAATATATCCCCCACATACTTGGGAGGTACAACTCTAACCAACACCCTGCACTTGCAGATCTCCTCCAACTTCAGTATTTGCAAGGTCGGTGATATTGTTGGTTTAAAACTCTGCAGTTACTGTGATTCCTCTTAAAAAGGCCTGAGTTAAAAGTTCCGCTCTGGGACTTGTATCACATTACTCTCTGTAGCAGAATCCAACCTCTTCATTAATAAAATTCTTCAAGGCAATTCTTTCACATGGGAGGAACAATCATGCCAGATATCGCTGTGGAAAGAGAAGACAGAGTCAATGGTTTTGCATCCAAACCTCTCACTGAGAAAAAACAAAAAAAGATGGAAAAAACACCCACCCACCACTATGTTAGTTGAATATTAGCCACAAATGTGCTCTCATCTTCCCTGGAATGAGTTTTTTTTTTTAATAGAATATGCATGCACTTTATTAAGAATGATAATATATCATTATTTGTATGTGTTTTTAACAGAACAGAAGATCCTAAACGTCCCTCCAAATCTGATTTCAATTTTAAAACATAACTGGAAAGTTGCATAGTTGGAATACCGCTGGGAAAGTTGCAGCCCCAAACTGCAAAATAGTGAGAATTTTCGATTTGTCACTCTTTTTTCCTCTCTCCTTCACTTCCAAAATATAAAATAAAAAACTAGCCCATCCCAATTGCCAGCAATTTCTACAAAAAAACCCTGGCTCACTCTGTGCTCTGTATTAGCACGAAGCCTGGGTACCATAGCAGCAATCTGAAGGCCTTCGTCTCAATCTTCACGCCTGTGAGAAGGAAACACCAGCTACAGCAGGCACTGTTCACTGGGCAGATAAAGTCGGGAGAAGCCACAGAGGAGGCAGTTTGCATAAAAGTGCAGGATGTCTTCTACACTGCTGCTTCACTCAAGGTTTCTGGAATGATCCAACCATGCCCCTAACAAATTGTAGCCTAGAAAAGCTGGGGTGAAATCCTGGGAAAGGGACGGCTCTTTGGAGCAATCACAAATCTTCCAAATTGTTCAGAGTTAGGCGGCCGCACACAGCGGTATTTACGAGAGCACGGGATCCTGTGGGCCAGCATTCCACCTCTGGCTTTTTCGTTACTATGTTCCCCAGAAGTAGTTGCTTGTCTCCTTAGACTTCTGTCTCCTCAGCTAGAAAATGCAGTTAATCAGTATTTGCAAGGGCCGTGATGTTGTTAGGGTTATTGGAGATTTAAACAAAATAACACATGTGAAGTGCTTGCCCTGGGTTCAGCTCCTAGGAAAGACCTAATAGAGACGAGCTGCTATTATTTCTAACCCATCCCTTCTGCTGCTAAACTAGCTCGGTGACCTTGTGTTAATTGTTTAACTTCCCTAGGCTCTGTCTCCTCTTATATCAAATAGGCACCATCTCATATGGCACACTTCACATGACGGGTGTGAGGAATCAAGGGATGAGTGTGAGAAAACTGAAACAGTGTGGCCACTTTGAGATATGTTGAGATGAGAGCGACGCTTACATCAGGAGCGAGAGGCAGCCATCTTTAGCTCCCAATGATGGTTTAGCATGTTGTCAGACAGAGAGAGAAAGTCATTGCTTTCTTTTTATTGGCAATTCTAAATTTAAATTAATGTTCTTGTCAGTGATGACTGCATCTAGGAAGAGGCCCTCTTCATTCCCAAATCTCATGTCTGGAAGAAAGTGCCTTTCTTTTTTTAAGCGAACCCCAACTACCACCAATCCTGCAGGAGACACGGGGAGGCTAGGTGAGTCTGAGCCCTGGGGCTCCCACACCCTCCTGATCCCCTTCCCCAGTCCTGACATTTTCGATTCAATTAAAAAAAAATGTATTTTGCCAAACACTTTTTCCGTTAATTTTTAAACCCATCTGTATTCACAAGGAAATTTAATCCACATGTTTCTGATTCATTTACACGTAAATCATCCAAATGTTGTTTTGCAAGAGCCGTTTTGCAGTCCAAAAGCTCCTGGAGTCTTTTTCGTAAGCTCTCATAAGCCATTTTTCTTAGAAACAGGAAGTGTCTCTTGCCAAACGCAGACCAACTTAAACCCCCAAAGATCTGGGATCAGTGGGAAATGCAGTCCCCTGAAGATTCAAGTGAGCCCTAGATTTGACTGAAAGAGGGAGCTCGGTATTTCAATCCAAGCCTTAACTTGAGAATTGAAGATTCTGTAGCTCCAAAGGCAAGGAGGGTAGGGGTCTTTGCAGCGTGACAGTTCAGCACGGCTCTGCCTCCTTAAGGAACTTCTCATCCAGGCTGGAGGTGGGTCCAGGCACCCTTATTAAGGCAGGCCTTTCTGTGGGAGTTCTAAGGCCCTGGCAAAAGAAGCAAATCTACTTTGCCTTTCACGAAAATCTACTGTATGCCTGGCATTAAAGGGCAGCCCCCTATAGTACAGCCAGCCATCCAGGCAGTGTCAATATGATACAGAGTGAAGTAGAAAACTGACCAACCTCCTGCTAATGTAGTCAGTGGACCCAGCCAACATTATCAGTTGGGTCCTGAAAACATCCCATTTGGATGGCTAGAAGTAAAAAAAAAAAAAAAAAAAAAAAAAAAGGGCAACTAGACTTATGGTAGTGAACACAATCCAGTCTATACAGAGGCTGAAATATAATGATGCACACCTCGAATTTATATAACGTTATAAACCAATGTGAGCTCAAAATAAAAAAGATCTAAGCAGTATTTCGGTACCTGAAAAGTGTGTTAGATTAATTACATTAAACCTCCACTAGGGCCAGATTACAAGGTGTCAGGCAAAGGTGACAGCCGTGCTAGTCTGTAGCTAACAGCTCTTCTTCTGGAACACAAACCCCAGCACCCTGAGGGCCCAGGACAGGGAGAGAGTGAGGGGGGTGCCTGAGTGGGGACTGACGCGACTCTGCCAAAGGCATGTCTCCTTTAGTGCGGGCAGCGAGTCAGCGCCTACCCGACCTGCTGTGCAGGAAGGCCTGCTCACAGCCACCAGGTCCACTGCATTATTTCAACAGAAGGTGGAGATGTGGATTTTTTAAAAGATGAAATAGCCCAGTTTACACATGTTAGCAAATAATTAAAGTTAAAAACACATAAACAAATGAACATATTTCAGGGTGTCAAGGAGGCAGCATTGGTCTGCCCACACTTTCCCACCTTCTCTGCAAGCCTAAGGAAGTCACGGAAACTCTCTCCAGAAGAAGGTCCACACATACTTACACCCAGAATTTTGCATATCTCAGGGGGTTACGGCTCCATAAATCTCATCTGTGACTTCCTAAACTCCCGATGCAGAACCCTTTCTGATGAGTAAATTTGGGAGAAAAAAATTCCCATTCATGGCCTCGGAGCTTAGACACCCCTAAAGAGGTCTTTTCATAAAGAAACCTCACTGCATGACTGCAGGGAAGTTCCCGCGTTGTTAGGAGCTGTTTTTCTTGTATCTGTGCTGCAATCCTCAAGATTACTTATGTGGGTGAGAGGGACGAGTGTTTGAGGCTTGGAATGTTCCAGAAGTGCCACTGGCACACTGACTTGCCCAAGTGGAGCCCATGAAGATTTCCATGAGGACATGACACCCTCAGAGAGCAACATGTGCCAAGACAGCACAAGATCGAGGTGGCTCTGCCATTTTCCCCAGCAGCTGGGTGATCACCTTCTCTGATACAGGCTCAGAAAACCATTGGTTTGAAAAGCAATGCATTTTTAGTATGGTTTCCAATTTTTGATAAGAACAAAGAGAAAAATGGAAAGTTTTGCAGAGCTGGGAGGGTTTGGAGTGAGAGGGTGGAATGCGGTCTTTCTGAAACCATATTACATTTGTGTAATAATTATGAGCTACTCAGAAACAGAACGGGGGGTGAGGGGCAGATCTTGCACAAATTGAACATGTGCATTGAGGAAAAGACAATTCCATGAGACTCACGACCAGACTGCATGATATCCAGAGTCAGGTCGGGCTGGCCAGCCAGAGCTTCAACAAGGTAGGGAAAGAAAACAACCAGTATGTGGGGACAATTTTTGTGAAATCACTCTGGACTTTTGTTTTTAACTTTTCACTGCAGAGACTATACAGGGCATTGTTAAGGTTTAAAATCACTACATTGAGGGTAGGTCCAATGGCATGCTGACAGCCTTCTTGGGGCTGCCTCTCCGTTGGTTAATGAAGTCTTCTGAGGGTTGAAATTGTATAGATCCACGCTCTAGGGCACATAAGCTTTAGGAGAAGGGAGAGGATGTCTCCAGGACAATGGCTGAGCATAGCTGGTGTCTCAAGTCTTTGACCCATGAAAATAGACACACTTGGGGAATCTAGGATCAGGATTTATCAATGACTTTATCTAGATAAGAACAGAAGAAGATTTCTCTTTAAATCCAAAATACAGCTGCATTTTCCAAAGTTTTCATGGGATGTTCATGGGTCTTAACATTTGGAAAAGCGTTTTGTGGGCAAATAAGTTCACAAAACTAAATGGAAGAGTCGTTTTTGTTTAACCACAGGATGTCTCAGAGCCTGTTATAGACATAGCTGCATCGTGGATATCCAAGACAGCGACTCAGTAAGCACTATTTCCTAGATTTGTTTGACCATAACATTTTAATTTTTTTTAACAGAACATCTTGTGAGATTCCAGAAGTGCTGAGATAAGAGTTGCTTTGTCCTAAAAAAATTTCTCAGACATATGGTAAATTGTCCTAGGTTTTATCTACCTGGGATAGAAAGCCAGTTGGAATCAGAGTAGAAATTGTGAATTATAAAATATATGTAAAGAATGGAGCTTATGACTTCCTTGCTCAACCTTATCCCTGCTTCTTGGCACCTGTGCTCCAGGATGCTGAGCGGCTTACTGGTTAGTGCACATGACTCTTTGGCTCAGGTTATCCTAATCCTTCTGCTTAAAATGCCCCCTCCCGCATCTCCCTGTGCCAGAATTCGACTTGCCCTTCATCCAAGATCCAGCTCAACGGCAACCTTCTCCCTGAAGCACTTCTGAATTCGCCCTAGTCTTTCCTTCCTCTGAACTTCCACAGCTTGGTGCCAGTCTCTCCCAGACAGATCCGCTTTCTTTACTGTGGTCATGTTTGCCCTAATACAGGGAAAGTTTGTAAGGCTAGGATTTTGTAGTCCACATGGGCTTGAACCCATAACCCAGTGGCTTGAACATAATATGGCCGTACGGCATAGGGGCTTACACGGCAGTCAGTCTGCCTGGTTTTTAACCCAAGGTTCCCTCTATTTGCTAGCTGTGTAACTCCGAATGACCCATCTTGGCTTTAAGTCTCAGTTTCTGCATCTGTAAAATGGGGACAATAAACAGCCTACATCAAAGGGTGGTTGGGAGGACTACAGGAGATAATGTAGACGCCGGGCTGGGAGCAGGCCCTCACACGTTAGTGGCTATGACCGTGGTCATCACCATCCTGGGAGACTGCAGTGCATATCTCTTGGTGCATAAACATGCATGCAGTCACTAAAGGAGGTTACAAAAGGGCTGCTGGGGAAAGACCTTTAAGAAGTTGGCTTTAAAAAACCAGAATGATGTACAATTAGCAGAGTGGTAGTTGGAGGTAAATAGGCCTTTAAAACACTTAAACAGCCTAACTGTGTCACCCCTAATCTTGTTTATATGGTCAATTTGCTTAACCAACTCTTCCTTCGTCACTTGCCCTGTCTTAATGATCACAATTCTGAACTAGCTGGGTCCAAATGAAGCAGGTGTTACTGTAACAATGAAAAGGAGAAGAAAGAATGAAACACTCAGAGATTCTTACCCCTAATTCTATGATCCACCTAGGTCCTTTTTTAATAGAAAAAGTGGAATTTAGAAAGCTAAAGATGAAGTAATTCTTCAGTTACACGTCTAGGAGCCCACTGTCAGAATGCCATTTTTCTCAAGGGAGACTCCGAGGCCCCAAGCAGGAGCTCCCTAGAAACAACAGTGTAGCCCAACCAAGCCCACGTGGGCCGTGCCTGGCGAGTTTGGTGGTTGGGAGCAGAGCAGGCCAGAAGAAGGACGGCTTAAAGGAAGATGATGCAGTAAATTTGACTTTAATTTCTCTATTCACACCTCCTCCACTGGCATCCCCAAAAGCAGGGACGTTTGGTACACAGCAGTATTGGAAAAACAAACCTCCCTTTTTTTTCTTTTTAATCACGCTGAAGAGTCAGGAACACGGGGTAGGGGAAAGTGCAGAAAGAATCTCCTGTACACATGCTCAATCAGAAGGAAAGGGCAGTGTCGTCCGCAACAGCAAGTCCAGCACAAAGTGTGTCCCTGAGTTACACCTCAGACGCTCCATGCTGTGCGGCTGCCTATTGGAAATGTGATGGAGGCATGGAGACTCAGCTGCTAATCAGAAGCGAGCAACGGTCTCTGTAGTTTTGGAATCAGTGCAGACTTGAGTTAGAAACACTCTAGGGGTGACAAATGCACAAACTCTCAATGTGTCCCTGTCTTGAAGCCATTTCCTCATTACTTAAACACACACACACACATATACCCCTACGCCACCAGATGGTCCCTAAATCCAGGAGATTCTAAAATCTGGGCCAAGTCCCTATTTTCAGTCCCTTCCTGCTCCCTCCTTGGTCCACACAGCATGAAAAGACACAGCCTCGCCTCACTGAAGGGCTGCCCTCTGAAGTCACTGTTGGCCGGTGACACAGCTGCTGACCATCCAAGAGCCGTGGGCCTTTTCTTCTCAAGCACCCCCTCTCTGCTGTTGATTACAAATCCCATTATATCTTGTTCCTCATATCAAATCTGTGTTTAACAAGGGCTGCGACTGGCACCTCAAGAATGGCAGATTTGAGCTTTCCGTATGTTTTAACCTTATTTACATCCATTATAAGTTATGTTTGCTTAAGCATTATATCCCTCGTTTGCCAGCTGGAGGTGTACTGGGGATGACAAAGCATTATTTTTCACTGAAAAAGAGTCAGACTTGCATGAATGGGAGGCTCCCCTTTGTGGGGGTGGGCATTACTATCATCAATAATATTGACCGCAAGGGAGTTCCTCAGTCAGCTTATCTTCCTCTTCCCTTAAGAAGATGGCTTTGCCAGTGCATGTTAGAGGAGGGGCACGGGCATGCTATGGGGCCCCACCTTTGGCTGTGCTGGGCAGATTTCCCAGCAGGTTTCTGAGGAATGGTCTAACGCTCTCCTGGAGTCAGAGAGGCACAGTGATTCGGAGCTCAGGTTCTGGAGTCACATGGTTTGGGTTCAATTTTGCCTCCATCATTACTAGCTGTGTGGCCTTGAGCAAATTGGGCCTTAATCTCCCCATCTATACAATGAGCATAGTAGTGACCTCATAGGGGCTTTAGGAGAATCGATATAAGCTTATATCAATGTAATGTGTCCAGTGCAGAGTACATGTGTACTTAAGTATAAATAAATATACACAGGCTTACACACAAAAACAACAGGCTGCGAAATCCCACACATGTATGCTGTCCTGCTGAGCCTCCTGACCTCCACAGCTGACTGCCATCAGTGAAGATGGGCATGGCTGCCACTGAAGGAAGACACTGTGGGAGCTGTGTAGACTGGGGGTTGGGGGCACAGACCCTGCTGGGGTTTATATTCATCTCCACCATTTACTGGCTATGCTTATGGGCAGGTATTTACTCTCTTTATGCTTCAGTTTCATCATCTGTACAATCGAGATCATAAGAGTCCTCATATTTCATCAGGATGTTGTGAGGATTAAATAAGATGGAGCATACTCAGTGTTTAGCACAGAGTCTGGCATACTCTTCAGTGATCGATAAACGGTAGCTGATTATTTTATTGATCGTATTTCCCTGCCAGCTGCCTTAGGAATCCTGGATACATCCTTTTTACCCACTCTGTGTAACGAAGTGTTTGAGAGATGGAAAGAGGAGATGCATTTCTGAGCCTGAGTTTGAAGCCAGCTTCTCCCACAGAACTTCACAACCTTCGTAACCTCCCTAACCTTTAGTTTTCTCATCTGTAAAGTAGGGGCTATGAGAAGCCAACACACAACTCAGCAGTGGGAGAATGAATGCAGTTGTGCAGGTCAACACCAAAACCCAGTGCCAGCACATAAGAAAATGTAAGAAATGGTGGACCCATTTTAAAAGGGTAGGATTTTTTTCTCAATGAATAGAAAGGTCACATCAACTCTTGGTGACTCTATTATTTCCATATTCCATGATGAGGACGAAATTGAACAATTTTAATATGAACCAGAATACTCTAGTAGCATTTTGGGGTTTCTGGTTCCCAGCAGTAAGTCTTGGGCCTTTGGTCTCTGATGCTGTAACCTCAGGGCTCTGGTTGGGCCATGGCTCACCCACTCCCCATTATCAGCCCCACACATGTTCGCTGTGACATAGGTGACAGGAAGGGAAGGTTGAGTGACCTACTTCAGGAGAAGGCCAGTCCAGGGAAAGACCCTGCAATGGAGAGCTTCCTAGAGTCCACAAAAGACTGGTCTGGTTATGGTGACCACAGGGAATGAGGGAGGAGAAAAGAGAAATGACAGCATTAGTAAGTGGAAACAGTATTCTCATGCAAATCCCGGGCCTGAGCAGAATTGCTGGAGTTGGAAAGAGGACTGCTCAGGAAGCTCCAGCAGAGGACAGATGCACAGGGCCAGGGGCCTGGGGTCAGGGCTGAGGAGAGCGAACACAAAGGAACAGAAGAGACGAGGGCAGAGAGAAGCAGGCAGACCCAAGGCTGATCCCCTCGCAACAATATCGCACCTACTCCTGGCGCTTGGAGGTTGAGGTCAGGGCGTGTGGTGGGCCCAGCTGGGGCCTGCGGCTTACCTTGCAGGCTGTTCCCGTTGGTGCTGGTGCAGGTGGGAGGCGGGGAGGTCTGGGGTCTGACGACTGGCGCGAAAGCACTCTTCTGTTTCACGGCTGAGACCATGTTGGCTGGTGAGAAGGAGAAGATGCCCGAGGAGCTGCTGCAGTTGGAGGGGAGGCTTGTGGAGGAGGCCATGGTGGGGCTGGATGGCACGACTGAGAGGGGCAATGGGAAAGGAGAAATCAGTGCCATTCCTGGCATCCTGAGACAAGGTGGCTCAGATCTGACCTTTACCGGCCACCCTGCTCAGGCCACCCTTCCAGCACAAGCTTTCCCTGAACTCTCGGGATCTTGTCCACTTTCAACATTTGGTACTTGGCATGTGTTACCTTTTGTTGTTGATGATCTTTTATGTGTTTGTTGTGGGCCTACTATGTGCTAGGCAGTGTGCTAGGCACTGGGACATCCTAGGCCAGGAAACAAAAATGCTCTTATAAGGGATAAAGAAGCACAAAATAGCAACAAAGATGAGTATGGCCAACTCTGTGGAGGCAGGGAAAGGGAAGCAAAGAAGCCTTCATGGAGGAGGCATAGAAGCATTCCCTGTAGGGCCTAAACTAAGATTCTACAAAGGGGCTGGGGATACAAGAAACAGGAGAAGGCCACCCTAGGAGGGTGTGGTCACCAATGGAATGAGAGGTGTGGAGAAGAAGGGAGAATTGAGGGCAACACCAGGATTCCAACTCAAGGCACTGGCAGATGGTGGTGTGTAAGTGTCCCTTTCCTCCCCATGAAGCTAGGAGTTCCTCAAGGATTTAACAGCCCCTTAATGCTCCACACCACAGATATAGGTAGGTGGGAGGCCAGATGGATAAACAGACCACTAGGTAGAACATTTGTGGATAATGCAGAACTATAAGTCAAAGTTCCAAATTCTTTTTTTTTTGAGGAAGATTAGCCCTGAGCTAACTACTGCCAGTCCTCCTCTTTTTGCTGAGGAAGCCTGGCCCTGAGCTAACATCCGTGCCCATCTTCCTCTACTTTATACGTGGGATGCCTACCAGAGCATGGCGTGCCAAGCGGTGCCATGTCCGCACCCGGGATCCAAACCGGCGAACCCTGGGCCGCCGAGAAGCGGAACATGTGAACTTAACCGCCGTGCCACGGGGCTGGCCCAAAGTTCCAAATTCTTTATATCCCCCCATGGAGCTGCACATAAACGTTTGTGAATTAATAAGCAGTAGGATAGGTTCCTTATGTAAATATTCACAGTCTAATAGTAGTGAGGATGTGGATTATCAATGATGGGAGAACCTTGGTAATTCAGAGACAGAGAAAACCTAGCTGCTGGGGACACGAAAGAGTTTGGTGGATATACATGCTCTACCAGCAGCTCCTCTCAGCCTGGCCTTTCATCATTTGCCAGTTGCTAATAATCTCATGGTTCCTTTAGGAGACAGATTTTGCACACAAGAAAGTCCTCTACACTCAAGACTAGTACTTCCATATGCTCACCTCCTATTTCCTCCACCTCCTGGGGAAAAATATGAATCCTGCCCAGTGATTTTCAGGCACTTAATTCAAGTTCTAGGAACTTCCTCCTTACTGTACTATTTTTCACATTTTGTAATAAACATTATACATTGCTTTATCATTCACAAGAATCCTCATGTCTTTTTCACCTTATGTCATAGGCTATGAGGCCAATTACACCCTTTTTACACCTCAGCAAATCGAGCAAGCTGAGACTCAGAAAGTAGTTCAGTGGCATGACCAAGGGCCATAGCTGAAAGCAGTGAAGCCAGGAGCCAAACCCAAATTCAGTGCTCTTTCCACTATACTACCCTGCAAAGGAAACAGATCGCAGGAGAAAAGGCCCCCTTTCCATGAACCCACCAGAGTCCAAACTGCTGTTTCGGTGGCCTTACCCTTGGCCTACTGGCTTTGGAAAGTTAGGGAAGTGGGAATCAACTCGGTCACGGGCAGCAATTGGCATGGAGCCCTGAGCACTACACAGTCCAAAGGCACTGAATGCTTTATGGAGCAGAACACAGAGCCGCCATCCTCAGAGTTTTCACAAACATTTTCTAAACTGTACTTTTTCTTTTAATGAGGCCAGCATTTTTATACATCTCTTAGGATTTGTAAATGTGAAAATACGCTCAATAATAACACCCATTTAAATTGCAAAGCTCCTGCACTGGAGGTTTGATTTTTAAATATTCCTAGACTTGAAATCCTGCTGGTTCACTGAGGAAGGCAATTAATCTCGTTGGCAAATGCGATCATTATGTGTATTTAGAGGTGGGGAGTTTGGAGGGGGGTGGTGAACAGAGGAAGGGGAGAAATATAGTCACGCAGTTCCATTTGTTATAACATTATTAGTTATCAGCCACCACACCAAAAAGTGTGTTCTCCAGTGGAATGTCTTACTTATTTTATTTTTTATTCTGTTCAGAATTTTTCAACATGAGTGGTTTATGAATAATTAAATATTGTGGAGGCAAAAATTCAAATCAGCTGGGCTTTGTGTTTATTGTTTTATTTGCATTTATGCAGATAAAACTGTCCCATCTGAGAGCCTATTTGAGAATTTAATACTATATTTGTGAGCACTGAGGAAATCAATTAATGGAAATTAAATGTTCGAAGTTTCACAGTCTGACAGATGCAATCTCAGGCTGAAGTCGCTGGGTGTCTACACAGGCTCGGGAAGACAGGGCAATCCCAGCCCCTAAATTGAATTGCTACCATAGAGCAATTAGTTTATTGATTTAATTAAGAATGCCACCTTTTAATTTTCAGGTCATGATTGAAACATTTTCTGATTAAGTAGATGGGAGAACACCGAAATGATAGATCCATGAGAAACGATCTTTCGATGAATCAAAATCTAATGTGAAACTGGCCCCAAACACTGACTCTTGAGCAGACAGATCTAATGGATGCAGATCATTTGGGGAATTTTAAATGTTCAACAAGCTCCTGATTCCAAACAAATAAAGTAGAAATATGAAATTGAGCACACAACTAAGCATAAAAACTTACCCAGAAAGTAAAAGGCCTTCCTAAGTATTCCTTTCAGAAATAACTCCTCTCAAAGGCCAAGAATGATCCTTCCTCTTTCAAAAGATTAGCACACTCCATGTTTCCACTATTAGAAACAGCATAATTTTTAAGTTTTTTAGCCAAAACTCTTTTTTTCAAAATCATGAATATTCTTTCATTTAACGACACATCTTCTATCACTCCACAAATGTCTCAGAGTTTGGCCACGTTTTACACAACAGAAGAGTCATCCACATCCACGATGAACGTGGTCATCTATGTAAAAATCCTCAGAGGGAGATCAAGAGATCGTAGAGACACAGCCCATGACGTTTACTATCTAAAGATGCCAGTTCCCTCAGGTTCTTTAGATGCAATCTAAACGCTGTACCAAAAAATCCTTTAAGCTAAACTCGTTTAAGACAGAGACAAGGCATCAAAGAACACTTCTTGTGTATGTGTGTATTGTTTTTCATCTTGCCAGATTTTCGAAAAAGTGAAGTGTGTTTTTTTGATTTGTTAAGTTTGTCTTTTTAACTACACATCAAACATAAAGGGGAAAAAACTCCACACATTAAAAAAAATAAAGGCACCATATTCCTAAAGGGAGGAATTTTAAGTTTTAGACTGTTATTACTATGCTATACTACCAGCGCCACTATCAGGATAGGCTCATTACAGGCATTATGGTATCAAAGTCTCACAACAATTGTATGGGGTGGGTGCTAGTTCCTTCCCCATTTTACAGATGAGAAAAACTGAGGTTTGGAAAAGAGATGAATTTACTCAGGGCCACCAGTCAATAACTGGTAGAAGCAGGAGTCAAACCCGTCTCCCTCTGACTAGAAGCTTGGGTTCTTGCCATGACATCAATACTGCTGCTTTTGGTTGCAGCAAAGTTCTGAGACATGGAGACTGTGGGGAGGAAGGTGAGCAAGGGAGAGCAGAGATTTCTGCTGGAGGCACTGCTGCCTTTAGTATCATCGCCTGGAGCAACGCTCGCAGGGTGGGGACCCTCAGACTGAGGAGACCAGCACAGTGGGCCGCACAGCACAGTACCCAGTTCTTCAAGCGAAAATGTGCTGAAACACAGGACACACATCTCTACTTACTGGCGTAGGGCGAGTTGGCAGCTGAGCCGTTGAGGAAGGTTGGGGAGCCACCCAAATTGGACATGGCAGCAGTGCCGTATCCGTTCATGCTCGTGGTGACGGAGTTATAGTTGGTCTGCTGGGGAGTGGTGCTCGGCACGTACCCGTGTGGCGATACGCTGCTTGAGTTGCGGGTGAAACCTGAGGGTGGGGGCAAAACCAGGGGTGAGGGTGGTGGTGGCATGGGTGGCAATCCTGGAGGACTGGGGAAAGGAAGGTCTCTGTTTCTTGCCCCCTCGCCACATCCCAGACGGAAGGGATTGGGTGATTCATGTGCGTGGGTTGGTGGTGCTAGCTCTGTGATTAAAATGGCAAGCGAGCAAAAGACACATTTCTTAGAAGATCATAAATACTTAGCAGGGCCGTGAAAAGTGGCAATGCAGGGCCTATAAATTATCATTTTGGAGCAGAAATAAATCCCAATCTAAGAGATGTACTCTGGAGTTAACAGGTTCCTCTTCCCTGGGTGAGGATGATGTGCTTTGGCCCCTCAGAACTTTAATTCCAACCCTCTTTGCGATCTGTCATTCATGGTTTATGGTGAAAAGTCAAATGGAGAGATGGCTACAAGCATGTATCCTTTCTAGCCCCCTACACCAGACCACCAGACGTGACAGCTAAAACCAAAATTCTACAAGAGTATTTCAGATACACAAACTAGGAATCTCTCCTTTTGGGAAAAGAAAAATTTTTTATATAAAAATTATTTTGTGCTAAATAAATGGGAGGGGGGTATCTTGAGGTTGGGAAGGGGCAGAGAACTGGGGAGCGACAAGAGCAGACTCCTGACCCTGATTGGTGGCCTGCGACGCCTCAGAGACATTCACTGCCAGTTGTCCACTGAAGGAATTCACGCCCATCATTCCCGCGTGGACCGAGGTGTTAGTGAGGGCCGGGAGCTGGCTGTGGTTGCGGGGCACACTGTACAGGGCCTCTGCAATGTCAGCTGCTCTCTTTAGAATAATTTCCTGAAAAGTAAAAGGAATACCCCCTTTAGCTACCCCAAATCATACTCCTAATAAAACCATTTTTTAAAAAATTTAAAAACCTTTTTTTGTGTGAGGAAGATTGGCCCTGAGCCAACATCAGTTGCCAATCCTCCTCCTTTTGCTTAAGGAAGATTGTCACTGAGCTAACATCTGTGCCCATCTTCCTCTACTTTATGTGGGGTGCCGCCACAGTTTGGCTTGACGAGTGGTGCTGGGTCTGCCCCGGGACCCAAACCAGCGAACCCCAGGCCATCAGGGTGGAGCATGCAAACAATCATTATGCCACTGGGCCGGCCCCTAAAACCATTTTTTGTTTGCTTACATTATGCCAGGCACGGTAGTGCTCAGGGCTTTCCATGGTTAACTGCATTAACTTCTGCAACACTCTCAACAAAACTGTAAGTTTAGTCTCATCATCATCAGGCCCATATCACAAATGGGGGAACTGAGGTGAAGACTTCACTTAAAGACACTCACCCATTTAAGGACCGAGCTGGGCTGCATAACCCTGTCTGTTACCTTAGCCATTCCATAGTATACAGCACCACAGGGTTTCCCTTCTCCACAACAACACACAGGAACTCTGGGCTGACACACACGCAGAGGCTGTAACTCACTCCCCTACTGGAGTTAAGGGCAGGTTGCATGACTACCGTTGTCCCTGAGTATTAGTGGGACTGTGCTCTCAGGACACTGATTCAAGTCAGACAAAAAAGGAGTGAATGACTTCGCACATTCACAGTTTCCTGAGCAATCTGAACCACATACATGGAGTTGCTCTATGAAATAGAAGCAGATGATAATATTCAGGCCTCGTTATACTTTTTAGGAGAAGAAATTAAACTCCCTTTTTCCTCCTAAATTTGCCTGAAAACCTGAGAGGAATAAAATAAAGCACCGGTAACTCTCTTCGTCGATTATGAAGTACACTCCCACAGAAGATTCATTTTAAATGGCGTACCTTTCCTTGTAAGGAACTGATGCCATAGAAAAGGCAATAAAAGACTTACAAAAGAGAGAAGAATTGAGTAGCCTTGCAACATGTTAGGTCTGAATGACTTATACTCTGAACTCATGCAAGTGACTTTTCTATTTTTCATACTTTTTCATTACAATAAGGAATCCAAGATCTTCCATTGAATGTGAAGCCCTCACGAGTTTGAAACCCAGTACGCTCACCTGGTTGTTGTGTGGCATCCCATATAGCGCTTCTACCAGGTCAGCAGCCCTTTTGAGTATCACTTCCTGTCAAGAGAAAAGCAGATACAATCCTCTGAGTGAAGGCAGGTGGTTGTTATCTTTTCACATGATCGTGTTCCAGTTCTCTCTGGCCATACTTTGCCAATGCACTGCTTGAAAGGCAGTAGCTTGGGAAACCCCAGAATGGCGTTAAATCACCAATTTATCCCTGTTCACATACACACTTAATCGAGTCAAAAGGTGAGCATCATTGGTACTGCAAAATAAAATACATCACTCAATAGTCTGCCATAGGCACGATAAAGCACTCATATGTTTATTGCTGAATACAATTGCGAGGTCATTTACTAGATTACTACAATCGATGTCATTCAGTGCATGTTATGAATCCCTAAGATGTGTTTATTTTGCACTTAATTGCTTATTCCAGGAACCATGACCTTATCAGACAGGTCATTTTCGAGGAATTTCCAATCAATCTTCGGCTACTAGAAGCATGTAGCATTAAACTTCTTTTGTTTATCTCCCTTGTGTGGCAGAGGCATGATAGAAGGGGGTGATGCAGTAAAGCCACACACTGGGGTAACGCACTGTTTGTCAGAGGCTCTTACAAAAGGATTCTCCTGACCCCGGAAGCGCCGTCTGCACCAATTTTCATGATGGGCAGTCTGTTTCTTTTATAGCAATTCTTTGCTATTTCAGTATTGTTTGGCTCTTTCCCCATTTGCTCATTCATTCTCATCCTAGCTGTATGTTCTGCTGTTCATCCCAGTTGAAGGGAAAATGTCTTCCTCTTTCCATTTAGGTGGGCTTCCATATTTAGCTTGCATGCTTGTTTCTAATAATGTATGGCACTCTACAAAAGTGTGCGTAGTGGTCATTTTTTTTTTCATTCTAACCAAAAGGAATCGTTCCCTCTTCATTCTGCCCTAATTTGCTGCTGTTCATTCACAGTGGAATGTGAAAAGCAAAGTTATGCTTGACATATGTAAAATGGAGGCTTCTCAGAGAACCAAACATGAAGGCATGGTAGGATTATCTGAGGTGATTTGCAAGATGTATTTACAATTTTTTTGCTGTGCGTAAAGTTTCAAAAAGAAGTTTAACTTTAAATATTTTACACAATAGATCTCTGCATGGAGAAACAGTGCTGTTCAATTTTCATAGACTGTAGATGCTGATCAGAAAATAGGGATATAATTGCATTCATTTTGCTGTCACCATAGCCTCTTCAAAAATCCTTGAACAACTCTTGAAATGACAAGCTTTTAGATACATATTAGCATTTTTCAATTTTAAATTCTCTATAATATAAGATAAAATAGTTGTCATACTGCAGTAACTACTTATGACATACATAATGTCCTAATTCAAAAATGAGGTAGAGGGGTTTTCAGTTCTCAATAAACATTTATGCTTGCCTTAAGCTGCTAGACCCCATTTATAAAACAGTTCAGTTATTTTTCATATAAGGAGTGAAAAGCATTATATAATCAATAGGGTTTGAATCAATACATCTGAAATAATTTCTTTATTTTTTTGATGCAAGCTACAAGATAATTTACCACTTTTTGTTTGCAGTATTGTCTGACCACAGCAGTGAATAATTTACTAAGGTATGGGCACACTAAACCCAATCCCCAGATCGAATTCAGCCTGTGCTGCTTTCACTAAAACCTCATGGCTTTATCTGGCTCTTAGGAAAGATTAAAACAAAACAGGATCAAGTTGGTTTATTTACTAAGATTTGACCTCTTTGGGTCTATGTTCATTTATTTCTTCAAATAAATATTTATGCCAGTGTTTGGGCTTGGCAGAGAAGGTACTTTTCTTTCTTTTCATTTTAGGGGGAAAAAAATACAAGTCTCTCGTTTGTCAAAAGCATGATGAGGTGCAATTAGAAACTGCATTGCAAACTTCAATCTTGGAACACTATCACTGAGGACTTAGAGCATGCTTCTTATTTTAATTAATTTCACAGAACCAGGGAAAAGAGAAGTTCACAATAAACTCAAAGATCTTTCAAGTTTTTGTAAATCTGAAAAAATTCCAACTATTAGTGTGTGCTATATATTTTAGCCTCATACATTTTTGGTGATAAAGTTTTTCAATGCCATAATCCACTTGTTTCTTTTTCTCTGTATTCGGAGTTCTCATCACCGTTTAATCCTTTGAAAATGAAACACATGAATCTTGCTTTCTAAATCTGCATCCTTCTTTGCTCCACAAAGCTGGGACATGCTTTTCCACTAGGCACATTGCCATAGGTGGGTCATCAGACCAGTATCGTTTCAGACAAGCAGTCTTGAGGAGAGTGAACCTGGATTTGCTGTCCTGGAAGTGACTCCCTTAAATGATAGCTCTCCCATTTTAAAATGTCCTTCACCGCAGTATCAACTTTGAGGGTTAAGGGAGAGCCCACATTTGGTTCAGCTTTGTCAGTGTGATTCAGCTTCTATTAGCTATTTCTGCAAAGGGGAAGGAGAAAGGAAATTTCTGGGTCCTCTATGAGTTAGTGCAACAGACCTGCAAGGTGCTTGGATTTCGGTGACCAGAAAATTGCTCTCACCTCCATGTCATTACGCTCCCAGTGAACTAGCCCCCAAGCGTGTTTGTGTTGGGATCTAATATATTGCCTTTCAATCAGAGCTGAGAGCCACTGAACACACAGACAGAACATGACGAGCAGGTCAGGAAAGCAATAAAGATTTTACAGAGCTGTCCAAGGTGCTAAATTTACTCAATAATGGGTTTGGCACCATAGTGTTAACCTCTCATTTACTACCAGTTTGAGGGACTAAATTGAAGTAGCTGACTTCATTTACCTTGAAATGTATATTTTATGACATTATGTAAGTAGATTGAAAGGGCACTGCAGTTTTAACAATTTGAAGGCTAAAGCATGTTTAAGACGAAACTTGAATATTTATTGTATATTGCACTTAAAGTATATAGAACATTAAAATGTATTGATTAAATTTGTAAAAGGCATTATAAAAATGACAGGTAGTATAAAAGATGTATGCCTTTTAAAATCAAATTGATAGTGTATGCTATCTCTTCTGTGGTCACAAGTGTAATTTTTTTCCTGTTTTACATGGTAATTTGAGAAATCTCTAATTTCACATTAGGAAATGATTGAGCCTGGGATTTTAAAAAACAGAAATTTCCCATAAGGGGAAGAGCAAGATGTTTCATATACTCTTTTGTCTATGAAATTGTTCCTAAAGTCTCATTTTTTGAGGTATTAGGAAGGAGCAGAGTATAAGGATCCTTCCATTCTAATATGCAATTTTAATATTTCTGAAAAGAAAGAGTCTTGACTAGTACAAATATGTAATTTTTCAAGGCATTTATTTGTCAGGAGAGATTTTCTCTTCTTTTCATAATGTTTAAAACATCTCTCTGCTTGCAGTTTAAGACATGAGGGTAGAGATTAGACTCTGCCAAGACAATTAATCCTATCCCAGGATTTTAAAAAATATATCCCATTGAGGAATTAAGAAGACAAATACTAGTATCCTAAATATTGAAAAGCCCAAGAGTCTCTTTACAGAGTCAATGCTTATTCTCCAGCCTACATCTTGAGTGGGACTATTTTTCTTTCCACGGCCTTGAATTTCTTCTTTCTTAAATAAACAGAAAATGTTTACTCCTTAAAAACAACTTTTTGCGGATCTATTTCCTCTCACAGTTAAAATATAGCTTCACCTGTTTTGCTATGACCATTGGTTGATCATTCTGTGACTGGGGTTCCACAAAGAAAAATGGGGATAAGCTATACTAAATCTATTTAGAGTCTACAAAAACACTGCAAGACTCAAGGACCAGCGGAGTTCTGAGAAACAGGTCAAGTGTAATCATTATGGGTTTTACTAATGTTCTGGAACCTTTTATAATAAAAATGCTGAGTGGGTTACAAATACAGAGGAAAGATTCGGCTTTACTTCCTATGTTGCAACCCAATCAATTAAGCAAATAATTTTTGAGTTTCTTGTTGTCCCAGTGGTCACACACCAATATTACTCTCCAGTACCTTTCAAGGCATATTATCTTCCCAGAATTAAGGTACAGGGTACTATGAGGATTATAAAAGATTTTCTCCATCATCAGGTCCTACCCTTTTTATCCAATATACTCTCCCTTCACATCTGAAGAGCTGCTCTCTCTTCTGGTTTAGCTGGTCCTCCCTGGCCTAGAAGAAAAACACTGGGCTCTTTTCTATCTCCACACCTTCACTCCTTTTGCCTTTCCTTTATTGGGAATGCTGGCATCAATTTGTGCCCATTTACAATGACTTCCCATCCTCTAGAGCCTGGTAACAAAGGTGGTGCGGGTGGTGGTAGAGTAATGATAAAGATAACTGTTGTTTTTTGAAAGTGGAACATTAACTCATTCAGTCTTCCCAAAGAGGTTCTTAAGGTACTGTCTGTATCACCATTTGGCAGATGAGGAAACCAAGGCTTAAAGAGGTCAGCCCACTTTCTCTGAGTTCATGCAACTGACAATTGGCTCAGCAGGGATTCAACCTCAGGCCTGTTAGACATCAGAGCCTGAGCTCTTGAGAATTACATTATTCTACCAGAACTAATTCCACTTTCACTGATAGCCCAGTTCAAAATCTCTCTCATTCCTCCAAAAAATAGTGCTGACTGTGCCACACAGAACAGCACAGAAGGAGATGCTGTGGGGTCGCTCTGCTCTGATTTTAAGCGTGTTAGTCTTCACTCTCCATAACTAGACCGTAGGCCCTTGAGGCCATGGATATGTCTTAATCTCCTTCTCTAAGCCCCAAGCCCAATATTTAGCAAACCACAGGCCTTGAGAAATTCTTGTTGAAGAGTTTAAGACAGTTACTGATTTTAAAAAGGGCATGCTTAATTTATATGATGAAATGACAAAGTCATATATTTGGCATGGTTTATAAAAGCAGAAGACTTAACTTTGGTGTTATATTTGGCTCCAGATTTTTTAATCCAATATATAAATTCCCAAAGGTCAAGATTTGATAACTGTGGGGGTTTTTTATGCCACTTTCTTTTTTT